AAAAAAGACAGGGTCTCGCCAATGTAGCCCTGGCTGGCCTAGAACTTGCTATGCAGACCAGGCTGGCCTCAATCTCACAGAGATCTGCCTATTTCTGCCTCCTGAGTGCTAGAATTACAGGCATGAACCACCATGACCAATGTTCAAATTAGTGTAGTTTTGGATTGTATTATATTAGAATGTTTAATTTTTAAAACTGCTTGAGTTGCTAATTTGAGTTTCATTAAAGAAAAACATTAAGTAAAAATTTCGGTTTGCAATTAGGACAGAATTTCAAACAATTTCTGAAATAGCCCTAAGTATATTTCTGCCATTTTGTACTCTGTATTTATGCAAAGTGGTGTTCTCAGCATTGATGATAAAATCAAATACTGATCAGCTTAGAAAACAGTGAAGATGTTCTACATCCTACAGTATATTCAGCCAAGACTTGATTCTTTATGTAAGTATGAACCTGTACATCCATCATTAGTATGCAAATCTGCTTTTGTCTTTAATAAATGGCAAAGTTACATATACCAAAGAATTATTTTAAAATAAAAATTTTTGATCAATGCATAATATAGACATATCAAAACATCACAAGGCATCTATTAACTTGCATAATTACTATCTTATAAAAAATTTAAATACAAATTTTTAAAATGTATTCACAAATAAGCGGATAGGGTTTAATTAGTATATAACAAGGTATAAAGCCATTCTTACTCCTAGGCCTACTATGGATAGCTACCTGGTGTGGCCTGATAAGAGATACCTTTGGTGGAGGGAACAGTCCACACACAGTAAGCAGAAAAGGGAACCTGAGAAATAAATTCTCTGACCTCACTCTTGACTTCCAATCTGCTGTTAGTGAATCCCATTGACCAAACTCATCTGGAAGCCAGAGGTCAAAGGACCTGAAACACCCCTACAGATCTTCCTGGGGCACAGAGTAGAACAGACAAGTAAACAGAGTGCATCTGGAGGGGCAGAAAGAAATTATCCAGTCCAATTTCCAGTTTTTTCTTCCTTTTTAAATTGCTTTTTTTTAAATGGCAGCACTGAGGAATGAACCTAGGGTCTCATCTTTAAGAGGTAAGCAAGCACTCCATCATTGGGCTATATAGCCCAGCCTTTCAATTTCTAGTTTCATGGGAAAGAAATGAAAGAAGGTAGGGAGAGGCAAGAACTCTTAGGGATGAAGGACAATGATAAGCAATAATACAAGGAGGAAGCCTCAAAGTCACAGTACTTGCATATTACTAACGAAACAGGAGTGGGCCAGATCAGAGGTGTCCAAACACATTGTAAATGAAAAAGCTGGAACACTTGCCCAGCTTTTTTGTTCACTAACTTTCCCTATATAACTCTAAGGCTCCTCACCTCCATATTCCCTGCTAAGCCCTCCATTTTCCAGAGAACCCCAAACCCACTCTCTAAGCCATGCACTCTCTTCACAGAATAGGTAATAGCCTGTCACCACAGTTCTCCTCAGTGATACAGCTGGCACCTACAGAGAGCACAAGGACAATCCCTGCACATTCCGCTGGCTTCCCAAACCTCTCTAATTCTTAAGATTTCATTCATGTCAGGTAGCCATGGCAATGTTTTCTTCACTTGGCTAAAGTCAGTCTAATTACTCATGGCACTAGGTCACTGGATGCTTCTTGAGCCAGCTCTGTGACCAGAGACTTAAGAGGCCCTACAGAGCTGTTCTCCGTTGAAGAAACCCAGCTTTGGTGTTGGCACATAAACCACTAGAGACCAGACCACAGAGCTTCCCTGACTCTCTACGTGGGCAGCAGCTGGCTTAGTAGCAGGGCTGGGGACTTCACATTCACATCTAGGATCTTGTTTCAGATCTGCTCATTGGTTCCCAGGGTGTTTTCTACCATGGGACTGACTCTTGCCACACACATCAGTAATTCAATGAACTCAGAATGTTGCAGGGCCATGGGCACCAGATGTTCCTTGTCTCTAGCCCTCTCCATTCAACATATGGTGCACCTCATGCTCAGCACCTCCCTTTCTTCCAAATGGCCGGGTTTGGTCCACATTCTGTTGTTTCCAGCTGCTGATGACCAAATACACCCTATCTTGGGTCAGATGCTGGGTGACAGCAAAAGCTATGTTTTTGTAGAGTCAGTGATCACAGTCACTTTATCACCCTGGGCATGGTTCTCATTTCCTCTTTGTTGAACATTGCTGCTGAGGGGGACTGAGAAGCAATGAAGACTTCTAAAGGCCCATGACGTAGCCTTGAACATGAGAGTCAGTGTTTGACCTTTTTCCTCCTGGATCCAAAACTGGGTAAGAATACAGGGCAGCAGTGGCAAAAGCAAAGGACAGAAAAAACTCTCCTCCATGCTGGGCATGAGGCACGTGATGGAGTAGAGGTGAGATGCCATTTCGAAAAGCTAAAATGAATTTATTATCACTCTTTGACTAATGTGCATATTTTATATACCTGTATACCTGAGGTTTCATAAAAGCTTCTTAAGTAAAAAAGGATTCATGAGTGGAAAACGTTGATGACAGCCTGAAGCACAGCAAATAATGGGACTATATTTTGAAGCTGAAGATTAAGCTAGTCACACATTTCCATGAGTGACTTGGAGCTGAAGACTTCTTTCCAAGCTATGAGGTGACTATAGCATAGATCATCAGATAACTAAACTGTACCTGCATCTTTCCTTCCCGGTTCCTCTACCATCTCAGGTACATCAGGTTAAGTGAAACTGTCTCTTTTAATAGGCAACTAAGGAACAACATCCACTAACGACATTGCATCTGCATATGGATGGAAAGAGATAACTGAAGAAGGAATCATAGGGTATATGCTGTAAGTATGAAAATAAGATAAATGCTGTAAAAACTTACCTTGCTTTTGGACAGACTACCCCAACTTCCCAAAGTTTGAATGGTTTTTGAAATGAGAGTTAATGTCCTAATTGTCTGTGCATCCTAGAAAATGACCAAAATTCTTGTTAAGTTTTCAAGAAACAAAAATAGCAGAATAAGAGTGAATGGACTACTTGGATCTAAACTAGTGACTCAAAAAAAAAAAAAAAAGTTCATTCACACAACTAATATAGTTAAAATATAGCTAAGCCTGGGACAATTTACTGAACTAAGCGATTAAGACACTAAAGAAGTTGGTGGTGTAGGCCTTTAAGCCCAACTACTTAAGAGGTTAAGACAGGAGGATTGCAAGTTCAAGAACTGCTTGAATTAGAAAGTGAGTTCAAGTTTAGCCTAGGCAACTTAATGAGACCTTGCCTCAAAATAAAAAGCAAGAGGCTGGAGATACAGCTGAGTGGCAGAGTGCTTGCCTAGCATGCATGAGGCCTTGGGTTCTACTCCAGTACAATTTAAAAAAAAGAGACTAAAGATTTAATGACTTGTTACCTTTCAAAGACATAATTTAAGCAACACTGTAAGTTTTCTGTGTAGTTTGAAAGCTTGAATCATGCCATAAATTATATTCATTTTTAGATTATTAATTATGGAAGTATCTAATTTTTTTTCTACTTTAGAAC